CTTTATGAATTCTTCATTTACATTGAAATAAACACGATTTATTGTTATGAAAACATATTCTGTTGTTTACAGGATAATTTCAGATCTTTCGTGACAAACTATAATGTTATTTGACTTGGATTACTTGGTTACTTGACAACTTTTTTATTGTATAGACCTTTTTCATGGAACGCGAAATTACCCATTATGCTTTACGCGTACGCGTATGGAGGATGCTTCGAACTTCCGGTTGCAGCTTGATGCGTTTAGTTAGGCGTTACAGAGTTATTTGGACAGCTCCTCGCCGCTATGGCGCCCTCCATGGAGAAGCGAAGAAAAAGGTCTATATGTTAACAAAACACGTAAACAAAGGAAGTAGTAATCAACTCATCACATAGAGTATCACTACACTGCTACTTTTCTACATTTTTCTTTTTTACAGTAATACCTGACAATATGATAGCTTTAACTTTGTTACTGTTGTGTACAAGATCACTAGATCAGCAAAAGGATATTCACAACAAAACACATTTACCAGTGTTGTGCTCCTTGCTAGCTCATGCTGTATTTAAAACTGTGTTCTAATTTCTAAAGTATTGTATGATATAGTACACATGCAAGCATAAACCTATTTAAACTGAAAGGTTATCACATGACCTACAACCTCCTACAATTTGTCACAAATATATAGCCTGTCAGTAATTGGCAATGCATTCTAATTGTATTGTGTTTGCTATAAAAATGTTGACAAAGTATGTTTGTTTGCAAAAAAACAAACAAAAAAACAGTGCAAACAGGAACACTATTCTGAATGCAAATTCTGAAGTCAATATTGATCCATTTACATCACACATATATATAGATCAGTGATCAGATCTCTTTTAGCATGGCTTATTGGCATTGGTCATATCAGTGGTTCTATTACAGAGTCTCAGTAGAGAAGCCATGGCAGCGATTGAGAATCCTGTGGTGGTCAGACAGTCTTTCCATCCAGAACATCTGCAGGTGGACAGGATTGAGACGGGCCAGAATAATCCCTCCTGGATCAGAGAGCTACAGTTTCTCCATCCAGGCAAGTCTTTTATTAACACACACCTGAGGAGACATCTGTCCCTTTAAAAGCATTTGTAAAGGTCATTAAAATATTTTTATAATGTTTATACTATTTTATACTAGTATTACATTATATTATACTATATATTATATTATATTATATTATATTATACTGTAGATACATTTCAGTATTACTCTTCTTTATAAGCTTCACCTGAAAAATCATATATAACTGCATGGTTATCAATCAGTGTTGTTTTGATTTTTGGATATTTGTTGAACAACTATTATTATTTCATATAGTGTCTGGCAAAGTGTCGGCCCATAAATTGGTGAAAGTGTTTGCAGCTCTTTGTGTACTTTGTCTGCTGGGAGGTGTTGTCACTGGTGTTTGGTTCGTAGGTAAGAAGTTAAATAATTAAAAAGATTAACAATTTTAAATTTGTGCACTTATAATGTAGAAACAAAGAGCACTCAAAATAATGTCTTTAATGTCCCACAGTGAAAATTATCTTAAGGCCAAACTCAGCACAGAGCCCTGCGAGCCTAGGAGACACTAAAGACACGTCCTTCTGCAATGTAACCCAGGACATCTCTGTGGCAGACCCACATTCTTTTGCACATTCTGTGAAAACAACAGAGAGCCAGCAGGTAAACAGTGCAGTGGACATTCATCCAAACTCACTGGCACTTTAAACAAAGTGACATAAACAATGACCAGCGAAAGCTGTAACAAACACATAAACAAGAGAAGCAAACTAAAGGGAGAGGAAGTAGAAATTAACTGTTGTGACTGTTTACATTTAAAAATCACACCCCAACTATATGCAATAATGGCATATTATTACCCAATATATAATTTATTAATGACGATAAAATTCCCAGTACCTTTCGCGTCGGCATATTGACGCCAAGGGTTTCTTATTTAAAGCAACGGAAGACCCTGCACGTCGAAAAATGATGCTAAAAGGGGGATTTGGTGCGGGTTGCTTTCACACTGCTCTTTTTGCAAGTGAACCAGAAACTGTAAACAAAACAACACGTGTGCTAAGGACATCCATTCATTGGTTATTCAACCGTACCAGAGTTGGTTTGGAAGCGGACCGAGACCACCTGTTTTCACACATGTAGATCGATTGCTTTGTTCCGAAACAGGGATTAAAATTATTACAATGTTGCTTTTTATTCTTCGTGCGGTTTGCTTTCATATGGCAATGTTTCTAAACGGACCAAATTTGTTAATACAAGTCACATTTAGCTGTCACGGCTGTCATCTGTCAGGATGGAACAATAACAGTTTTGCGGGTTTATTGTTGTTTTTTTTTGTAGCTGTCGTTATAATAATTTATAATTTTTAGCAGGAGTCCAGGATTGATTGGAAAAACATTTTTAAAAATGCACCTACTACAAAGAAGAGCAATAAAACGGCATTATAACATAAAAAAAGACCAAATTTGTTAATACAGGTCACACGCGAGTAAACTGTTCTCTCATTGGTCAAAATTCCACGGTTTATTTTCCGGGATTACACTTAGCTGTCACGGCTGTCATCTGTCAGGATGGAACAATAACAGTTTTGCGGGTTTATTGTTGTTGTTTTTTGTAGCTGTCGTTATAATAATTTATAATTTTTAGCAGGAGTCCAGGATTGATTGGAAAAACATTTTTAAAAATGCACCTACTACAAAGAAGAGCAATAAAACGGCATTATAAAATAAAAAAAGTGCGCTTTAATTTTTGAATGGCAAAGACGTGCTCACCCACAGACATTCACAGGTTCATTTTGAGGTATTAGCAAAACAACAAAGCTAATGCTTTTCACGGAACTTACGTAATTATTCCCATTATACATTGTGATATAGCCTGGTTCGTTGGTCCGTTGGATCGGATTGCTTTCTCACTACAACCGAACCGCTCCAGAGTTCGTTTTCAATCGAGCCGAGACCACCTCGTTCAGGCGATCTCGGACCGATTGTTTTGGCGCGGATCCGGGCGCGATTGCCGTGTTCACATATGCCCAAACGAACCGAGCTAAGGGGGGAAACGCGCCAGGTTCCGAAACAACAGGCCATGTGTGAAAGCACCCGAGTCTGCTGGGTCTCGGTACGGTTGTTTGGTGCGCACCCTAGTGCAATTGCTGTATTCACGCCTGCCCAAAAGATCCGCACCAAAGGGGGAAGCGAACTTGAGTTCGATTCAATCGAACCAAACAAGACAGGTGTGAATACACCCTTAGATGCCAAAGGGTCCTGACCAAGCGTCAATATGTGACGAGCTGGGAGTGAGAACGTGTTGCAATGAACAAGAATTCACCCATTACAGTCTCCTTTGTAACACAGTGGATTGAGTTGTACCGGCAGTTGTCAACATATCAACAAATGCTTTTATTTGAAATATATCCTCTAAACAAATTCAGGTAAAATATCATATAACCCGCAGTAGGCTACTGTCCACTGTGCTACAGTATGTTGTTTTAGGAGTGATTTTGACTGAATGGGGCTCAGTGTTTTACAGGATCAGTGCTGAGAACTCTCTTCTGGAGATCCAGCTGGAGAAGCTCCAGACGTGGCTGCCCGTATGTTACGAGCGGTGGAACTCTTCTCTGGGAACGCTTGTATGTCGACAGCTGGCTATCTGAGGTGAGCATGCTGACAGCTGAATCACACACACACACACACTTGCAGCTCTCAGCACCGTTCACTTGACTACCAGGCTGTGGCTGCTTTCTGTAGGTCAATCATTCATAGAGTGACAGCAGTGTTGAAATGTACTTTGAAGTCACGTTCGCTTCTAATTCAAAATGTGACGTGTGCAGCATAGACACTTCAAGGAATATTAAAGCAATAGTTCACCCACAAATTAAAGTTCTGTCAACTCTCCTGTTAGGTTTCTACTGTTGAGATATTTTGCAGAATCATGGAGCCGTTTCCAAAAACAGCTTTTTCCATAAAATGAAAGTGAAAAATCCTGTCAATCTCCAAAAATGAAAAAGCACAGTGATAGTGTGGTAAAGTAGTGCATGATCTGACTACAGTCAACAGCAAGAAATTAGTTTTTGAAGGATATGAGAATAAACTATATTAATAATTAGGTGTTGCAAGTGGTGAGATTTGTCAAATAATATCTCCTTTCAGATTATCAAAGCACAAAGGGGTGAATCTGACTGATATTGGGCCAAACTACACAGATGGATTTGTCCAAATCACCTCAGAACACCAAAGCAATTTGGAGAGTTTATGGCGTTTCAGGTATTTAAGGAAAATATAAATCATTTCAATTGGCATGAGCTTCCAGAACACCTGTCACGTGTGTGTTTTTTTTTTTTTTTTACAGGGGAAGCTGTAGTACAGGAAAGGTTATAGCACTGAAATGTTTTGGTGAGTCTAAATTTACTTAATATGTAAATCTGAAATAATCTAAATGCCCCTTGCAACATGTAGGTCTATGGAAAGGGTTATTTTGAGTAACGTTAAACAACACCATCTATCGGAAAACTAGGAACAGTGCATGTGTTAGATTAGTTTCTATGGTAACGTTTGAGTTTCGAAAGGGCGAAAAGCTTGTCCTTGGAGTGACTAACGTTAGCGCTTTTACAAATCATTGTCGTGTAAGACTTTGTTTGTTTTGTTTTTTTTGCACCAATATTCCAAGCATTTGTTACTAAATATTGTAGCTGCTAAACATCCGTCTACTTCCAAACAGTTTTCATATTATCCTTCAGCAACGTGAGTACACTTGGATATTTAACTAGCATTTCGTTTAGTTGTTACAGTAGTTCGGTTCGTTTAGAGCATGGACATCCCTGGCTATGATAATAAGGCAGCTCTGCAGCAGGTGAATCAGTTTTGGTCGATGTTAGATGACATGTCTCAGAATAATCCGGAGGAGTACAGGACCTTCATTGAACGCCAGTTACGGGAGGGAGCGGACTTTCACTCACCGCCGCAGCCGCAAGCCTGCATCCGCACTCCTCTTCTGGTAAACTACTACACCTTTAACCTTTGATGAGACTCTGTTATGACCTATTTTATAGAGCCAAACAAACAAAAAATACCACTACAGCTGTATGAGAGCAATTTAAGAGGCCTTATTATTGCATAAACATGCCTTTCGCTACATTTGCCTTTTTTTTTTACATGGTAACATGGTAATACCATATGTTCCTTAAGTGCATTAAATACTATGAAGGAGCTACATGAATGTGGTTATCATTTAGTATGGTCACCATGATATTAGCTTTTGATACCAACGCTGAAGCACGGTGCTGCCACATAAAATGGCTGGCATGTACAAATAGTTTGAAATAATTTCTGAGTAGGGTCTAGAAATTAAAAAAAGACTCTCTCTGATTACTTTTTTAGGGACCAAAGGAAGGAATATTGTACATTAACATGTGCGGTTGGAAACGTGTACCAGCGCCCACATCTTACAGTGATCCTGTTCCTGTGTGTGGAGGACGATTGGAGACAGTGACTGAGGAGAAAGGTAGAAAAATCTCATCCTTAACAATTAAAATTATTAAATGTTTTCAAAATATTTTCTTTCCAACCAAAAGACTCACTTTTTAGGTGGCATTTGTTCCATGCATTGGTTCATATTCCAGTCTAAGTAACTCACCGACTAACCTACTTGATTTTCTCCTTGATTAACTTCCTTGATTTTCTCCTTTGATTAATCTCCTTAGACTTGATTCTTAACGTTATATTAATATCTAATCTCCTGTGTGTTTTACAGAGCAATACAGTGTTGTTGATGTTGCCTTCAACCCTGAGGTTCTGCAGATGGCAGAGAAAGACAAACATGAGAAAGAGAAGCTTCACCTACTTGCTCTGAACTTCATCCAGCAGCAGCATAATCTGAATCTGTCCCAGAGCTACAAACTCACCAAAGACAAAATCAAAGGCAGAATTCAGGATTTGAAGCAGCGTCTCATGTCACCACAAATGTGCAAATCTTCTGTCAAAAACCCACAAGCTGAACCAGGTAAAATATATACTTTTGAAACCTGGAGACAGTCTGAGCTTCATCCCATAATGAAGTGATTTTGAGGATTGCAGTGCAACATTGAGTGATTCTACCTCTCTTTGTGTAGCCCCATCACTCCTACAGCAGATCTCCTCACTGCGGCTGGCTGAGAGTAATGAGGACTCAAGCATCCAACTGAACATCGAGCAGGAGAATAAACCAGCCCGATCAGGTCTCATTGAGGTGATCTCCAGCACAGAATCAGACCAGTCGCAGCCACAACAACCCAAGCATCATCTCACAGTCTGTCCTGATGGCAGCAGCTCATCTAGGAGCCTGCAGCTGAACGTTGAGCTTCCTGGGGTGAGATCTGTGTCACAGTGCCAGCTCAGCATCTCTCAGGTCAGTGTTCCCAGTATGTCAACTGTGTAGGGTTTTAATTGAATTGAATTTAATTGAATTTTATCTGTTTTTTTGTTATCCTGTTGGAACTAAATTGAATTTTCCACCGTTCTGGTTTAACCTTTGCACAGGCCTTATATTGTTCATAATTTTTGAAGGTTTTTCTTTGTGCTGTGGATTCAATAAGGGCTTGGTTTTTATTATTTAGGGTGATATTCTCCTGGAAGTAGAAGAACTTTATTATCTTCATCTACAATTTCCTGAGTTGGTCAAGGAGGAGACATGCACTGCAACGTTTAATAAGAAGAAACAAATTCTAAATGTTACAGTGGCTGTGTTATGAGAACACTTATTTATCCAGAAACTGTTGTCTCCAGGATCATTAATCATGCAATGAAATTCATGGTTACATCAATAATAATATGCATCATTTTTGGCCTCAACAGGTATATTTTATTAAACGACAGACATCTGTTCATACAATTTTAAGACAATTATAGAGATTAAGTAGGGATGCACCAAACTAAATTCTGTTATAAGCCAACAATTATTCCATGTTATTGCTGTCAAAATAAAATTATTATTAATTGTAATAATTGTTTGATGTTAAAATTATTTTGTTTAAATAATTTAAAAATAAAACACTTAAAACTAAAATCTCATTTTAAAGTGAATTTAGACATCACAACAGTGTAAAGTACAGTATGAAAAATGGATATTTAATTTTAGTTATGATGAAGTAAATGTTAGTATGGAAAATGAGTATAAACTAAATAAAAATAAAAAAAAACATATAAATTAAATATCCAATACCAAAAGAGTCTCTAATATCAGCAGATAACCAATATGACACACAAAAAAGCCTCCATCTGTGCACAGAAAGCCTTTAATAAAAGGTGAACAAGTGTCAACTGCATTTGCATTTACAACACAGATACCAAACACTGCGAACAGACATGCAAACTTGATAGGAAAAGTACAATCATTTTCAAAAGGAATATTTCAGTATGTTCAAATGTTACAAATTTTTACAAACAAAGTGGTCCCTGCTTTTACCACCCCTTATTTTCAAACGATAGTCAAGAAAGGTTGACATACATTTTAATTAAAAATATATTAATGTGAATGTGCAGACATTTTTGATGATATGTTCTCTTAAAATGGCATTTTTCTGGCAGGGCAATACATGCACACAATGTGTGACATGCTTGTCACAGTTTGGCAACTAATGCAACATGTTTATTATTTGTTCACTGCACAAGACACATACAGTTTTAAATAATCTTCTTTTCTTGGTCACTTATCACAATGGCATTGCTGATATACTAGCTTTTGCAAAACAAAATGTACCGTAACCTCAATACACTCAAAAACATAATCTGCATTTAGCTGTAAACCATTTTTTGATAACATTAAAAAACATTCTTCTTTCATTCTTCAAAATGCATATACACAATTTTACAAACACGTGCCTGCTGTAATGACATAGTGAACTGGTTCAGTGAGATTCACAGTTAGGACAGGACAAAGGCTTCAGAGTTTTGCAGGGATGAGGTATATGTAGGGTAAAACACATTCTGAATGGATTGAAATCCTCATGCTCTATCTCCCCTCTCCATGATCCTCCTCCACCCATGCGACAATCTTCCCTTCCCATCCAGGAATAACAGCATCGTCCTGAAACACCTGAAAGATGCCACACATTTAGAGAAAATCAATACTGATATGTTGGAATATTGAATTACTCCTGATTGGTTGTGATTTTACCTCTTCCTTCACTGTTCCAAACTCTGGATCCAGAGATTTGAAGTGATATCTGAAACTGCCATGTCTATCCACAGCTGCCTTGAAGTCCTGTAGCATAACCTCCCCCAGCCTATCGATAAATGGTTCATATTTAGATCAGGAGAATTGTGTATTAAATCTCTATACAATGATGCTATGATGTCATTATTGATGTCACCTCTTAGGGATGTTGACTAGGAAGGGTGTGAGAGAGCGATCTGTGTAGTAGAGTACTTTGGTTGAGGCTGCCGCACTGAGAACAGGGCTACTGTGAGAATGAGCCATCTCTGGAAAAACAATAATGAAAACAAGCGTTTAAGTCATGTAAATTAGATAAAGGTTACAGAAAAGCCATTAATTGGTCTAAAAAGTGAGACCCTGCATGAGCTTCTGGCAGAATAACATTGTAGCGACCTACTTGAGCTTGATGGCCATGATTCTCGGTCTGTGTGATTGGCTTTTCGTCCAGGAGACCTGGTTGAACCCTGTGGTGGTACAAAAGTTTGTAAAGTTGGCATGAAATGAAAATTCATCCTATTTTCCTATGTTTTAGAACTTGTGAACAATTTATCGGTCCATATATTTTAAAATATTTTGACCTTGTAATAACTAAAACGACAGACTTCTTTCTGGGGATGTATGCAGGACTTCTCCAAAAGATTTTAGATATACAAAGATGCTGCAGTCACTTATGAATGGGAGAAAACTCAATGTGCTGTATGGAGGAATAAGTCCTGCCTTCTAAATAAAAGCGCCATCGCAAATTGGTAAAGTTGTTGCAACATTGCAGCTGCCATTAGGTTCTCTGTTTGCCATAGAAAACAGTCCGCGTTCCAGTTGTCGGTCCAGTCTGAAATTTGAGTTTTTTAATGCTATTTGAGCATAAGAAACCATGTTTATGTGAAAGTTAAAGGAATAGTTCCCCCGAAAATGACAATTTTGTCATTTACTCACCTTCATGTTGTTGATTACCAGCATTCTTCAAAATATCTTCTTTTGTGTTCAACATAAGAAAGAAACGCATACAGGTTTGAAACGACATGAGGGTGATTAAATGATGACAAACTTTTCATTTTAGGGTGAACTATTCCTTTAATGTCAGTTGTTGCTGTTCTGAAATATGTAATTAAATGTGAGTGTGGCAAGCAGTTGAGAATTTCTGAATTTCCCCTTGCAAGTAGATAGGACTTGGTAGCCTGTTAGATGTACGAAATAGCCGTTACAATATTTAGCCCAGTAAACCCTACCCTGCAGGCTCATGTTCATCTCCACTTTTGGGTGCAATGCCCACATTCAATGGTTTAGAATGTTGTACGGATGCTTGGGACATGTCCCTACCAATATCCAGCAACTACTAAATTGTCCCTATAGTTTTGATCAAACAATTAAATATATGTATATGTAACCACTGTTGTTGTAGTTTCGGCTGAATCTGAAATAGGTCATGCCATTGATATGCTAGAAAAGTACGTCCTTGAAACTGAGCTTTTCCAAACTCCGAATCAGTTAAACCATTGCGTCACAAAATTATTCACTGTTTCAAAGCACTCCAATTGGATCGCGTATTGTGAATCATTTGTCGCAGATCAAGATTTCAAAGCACGTATCGTGAATCATTTGATTCAGATCGGGACTTCGGAGCACGTACCACGAACCATTTTATTTACAGTAGATCAGAACTTTGTAGCGGGTTCGCAAATCTTTTGATTCATATTAAAACTTTGTAGTGTGTTCGTGAATCATTTTGCGAATTTAAAGATTTGTGATTGTGCTCCAAAGTCCCGATCTGAAATGATGGTTTACGAATCATTTGATTTAGATCAGAACTCGCAAATATTTTTGGATTCAGATCGGAACTTCGGAGCATGGATTGCGAATCATTTGATTTAGATTGGGATTTTGCAGTGTGTTTGTGAATCATGATTCATAGAACCAAGTCCCTGTATTACACTGTACACTTAGACGGACTTAGAAAATATCTGTCGCTACTTCCGTTTCATAGCAACTTTAATGCATATTTACTGTAATGTAGAATTGGATAGAGGTAAAGTTTGGCCTTGCCTTTCTCTCCTGCCTTTTCTTGTTCTCTGTGTTGTGGAGGCGGTCCACCAGACTGGCTACACCCTGCTCCAGTGTGTCCAGTGTGTGGTGCTGTGGGTCATGACCGCTGAAATTGTCCCTCAGACTGCGCAGAGCATCGCGCACCAGCTGTAGCTCATCCGCCTGATGCACACATCCAGCCAGAACCAGAGAACAAACAATGCACACATTTATAACAAATTAAGCAAATTCTTTTTAAAATGAAGAATGACATGACTCACCATTCTGTGTTGGAAAACAGCGGAGGATGTGTCCATCATGTGACTGTAGCCATTATTCTCACAGCTTGACAACTGGAGCAGGCAATTTGGTATTGTTAATGTAGAACACTTCAAATTTACAAATTACAGTAATCCACATTTGATGGGAATCAGGGAATGTCTAAGAAATATAAAGCTAAATACATTTAAGAAGGTCAGGTAATAAATTACAGCTACAGAGCGTTTATGTATTATTACAATATAAAAATTTGGTAGGATGTACAAATATCGCATAAATAGGCCCCATTTTGCCCTAGTAGTTCATTCAGTTACCCTGTGATAGCTTTCACTGATCCTGCGCAGTGCATCATCCAGTTTTGACTGCTGCTGCTGAAGAAGTCTGTCTTTCTGCCCGAGTTCTTTCTACAGAGACAAGTGCATGTGACAGAAAAAGTATTTTCATGAATGTACTATATAGACCAGCGGGTTACCAAAAAAATTGCAGCAAAACCGGCAGAGAACTAACGTGAACACTAAATGAAGTCAAGCATATGATTAGGATGAATTTGCCTACTTTGTATTCACTCAGCAATCTGTTTCGTTCGCTCAGCTTCCTTTCTAGTTCCACCTAAAAAATAAAATAAACCTTCATATATTTGACACACTTATAAAGAAGAATCAAATGCATTTGCATGTATTTGTTTTTATAATTTTTTACAAATTTTAATTTAGAGTTGAGGTCAGACTCACATTCTGTCCCTCCAGCTCCTCTCTGGCCATGCTGGATCTGAGCAGCTCCTGTTTGAGCTGCAGCACTGAGTCTTCCTGCACAGACATTCTCTGCTGCAAGGCATCCTGGGTAGACAGACAGACACAGGAACAAACCTTAATTATCCCAAATGGCAACAAATCTGGTGTACACTGCAAAAGCTAATGATGAAATTAAAGAAGTGAATAATTATCCACACTTCTATAATATAATAATAATATAATAATAGAAATTAATATCTAGTTTTAATTTTTATTATATTTTGTATATTATATACAAACACACACAAACATTTTATATATAAACATGTTACACACATTTTCACATGGTCTCACCTTAATAGCCTGCAGATTACGTGCATCCTGCTTGTATCTTAAAAGTTCTCTCTGCAAAAAAACACATTACATCTCTCATTCAATACACAAACTGCAATATTTAGCTTTTTAAAATATCTATCTATCTATCTATCTATCTATCTATCTATCTCTCTATCTCTCTGTCTGTCTGTCTTGTCTGTCTGTCTGTCTTTTATATGCATCAGTAATTTATCAATAATAATTTTTTCAGAATTTAAATTTACCTTCAGATCTAAAGACTCCTCCATACTCTGGTCCAGACGACTGCGGATTAAAATCTTCAATAGCAGCATAAAACAAATATGTCATTACCATAATAGACTGTAAATGAGACATGCACAGTTTCTCAC